GGGGCGTGGAGGTGCCCGCCACATGGTGGGGGCGGGGACCGACGCGCGGCTGCGCGTGCTGCCGGTGGCGGCGATTGTTGCTAAACGGGGCGCGAGCGGCGGCACCAGCAGCGGCCCCGCCCAAGGGCAATGGCGACTGGCGTTTGCAGCGCCGGCAGCTAGCCAGTACCGGCTTCGTGCTGGTAGCCCGCCTCAAGCGGTTGGGACGCGGAGCACGCAAGATTAGCGCTTGCTACTGCAGTTCAAGCAGCTTCGTTGCATTGGGTTGCGTCAATGCTTTGCGTTCCCATGCAATGAGTCCACAACTGCTGCACAGGAGCAAGGACGTAGCTTGTAAGTCGCTGTGGCTTGCACAGTGATGTAACAGAACCCAGTGTAGCTTTTTATTACAGCAATGTCACCGTGTAAGCTTGGGCTGTAAGACCGGTACCGCTGCATGCTGCCTATTACAGTGTTCCCCTGCTCCAGCGAACCCCGCCATAGCAAAAGTCTTGCCTACATCGAGCGCCGCCGCTGTTCCCGATCGCTCGCCACACAAATTCGCCGCGCCGCCACAGCGAATGTTCACTATGGCTGTACCAATCGCCATAGGGTTCTCGGATTTCCTGTATGCAGGCGCGCTGTGGTCGGTGCCTGTGGGACTGCATGGGGCCCACCCGCCATGTGTGGGCCACGTGCATGCAGGCAGCCACCAGCTCCTCCGTACGCACCTTACCCCCTTTCACTGCAGCATCTGCCACTGCTCATAAAGCTGACTTCTGAGCTTAACGAAGGTCGCACCACTGAACCAGCGGCGGCAGTTGCCGGCGACAGCGGCGAGGAGGGAGGCAGCCAGCTGGGCCCAACCACTCCGGCCCCGCTAGGCGCTGTCATAGACACAGAGAGCGCGCCTGCAGCAGCAGACACCGACGCGGCGGTTCCAGGCGTCTTGCTGGCAGCCGCCTTGCGACTGTACATAGCAAGTGACAGGCTGTGGCTTCGCCTGGTCTCAAGCTCAGCAGCCCGCCTGTTGGTATGCTGTCTCGTGAAGAGTTGAAGTTTTGCATGCGCATGCATTTTACACGTGTGCAGACATGCCCAGGCACATGTGATGACTCAAAATGCATTGCCTCTTGCAGCGTTGAAAGGCACACATTTAACACATCAGCCAATACCACACCTACCCTCCAAGTGCCAAAGCCATGCATTATTGCTAGTGATCACTCAGCTGTTATCAGGCCGGTAAAACACGTGACATGCTGACCGGGGTAAAGCACTGCACGTTCCAGTAACAGGGCCCTTTGATTGCAATTGAAATCCATTGGTCGGTACCAGGCGGCCAGCTGAGGCTTCAAGTTCATCCACCACTGCACTCGCCCAAGCTGGCTGGTTTCGCCGGCTCCAGTGCAGAGGTGGCTGCTGCCACAGCTGACTAGACAGAAGCCGAGGCCGCCCATGGTCACAGCGGCAAACATAAGAAAACCCTTGCCGCAGTTGCGCCGAGGCGGCCCCACTGAATCAAAGCGCGTGAAGCGGCCTGCGTAGCCCCTGAATCACTGCTTTTGGTAAGCTGTAGCGTGACGACAATACGCCTACTTCCTCCCTGCATCGCCTTCCTGAAGGACCTAAAAATTGTCCTAGATGACGAGATGCTTAGTCATTGTGAGCTTCAGATTTACACCCACTGTAGGGCGGCAGCGGCGGGCGGCATAGAAAATTTATTTAGCTACTTTTCGACCACAGGAAATTACACCCCAATCAGTGTGCAGTAATGGGATGAACGAAGACCCGGCACCTGAACCTGACACTACAGTAACGAACATTTGAAAGCTAAAGTCGTATGGGTGTCTCGACGAGCTTGTTCACAATCACACGAGTGCTTAGTTGCACAGCCCGATCACATCGCAGCTGCGGTATCATCGGCATCAACAGGCCCACCATCACAGCCGCCAGCATGTGGCTTGGACGAAGCTCGCTCGTTACTATGGCTTTTCTGCTGCTATGCATGCCCACCAGGGGGCTGTGTGCCGGGTGCGGAGCAACGTGGTCCCTTTCGGGGTCACGACGTCTGTGGTCGCAACTTGGGGCAGCGGTCAGAAGCTACCATGCACTCCCAAACCATAGCAGATTAGCGTTGTAGTTCTCGCATGATCTTCCACGCGCAAACGTGGATCACGGCTCTTGCGCGTGCAGCTCAGCCAGCTGGCCAGCAAGCCGCTGTCTGGGGCTTGCAGCTCTCAAGCCGGATGTCGACGCAGTGATCAGGGCAACGTGAAGCAAAACGACAGTCACAGTCATGCATTGCAGTGTGCTTGCCAGGGCGCAGCAGCCCTTGCCCAGGCAAGGCTGTCCTTACTCCAGTTTCAGCTGCCGCAGCCAATGCAATGAAGGCTGTGAGCAACACTCGCATCATGTCAAGCTGTTGCAAGCACATGTGCTGACGCTCCACCACGCACCTGATTGCTGCTCAACCTATTGAATGATCCTCGCAGCCCTGTACTCCAAGCAACCCCCAAGAAGCAGAAGCTGGCGGTGGTGAGTTTGATTTTGTGCGTGCATCTCAAGATCGTTGATGTTGACATCATATGTCGTGCCCCTTTGGCGCCAGCATGACTCACCATTTGGTCGTAGAACAGTGAGTATTTGTGCCGAAATTCTGCGCACGCTCCTGTCTTGAGCCTACCCCCACCCCCCACATGCTCGGGCGTGTGCCAAGTAACGTAATCTCTTGCACTCTCCGCGCACCTGCAGTGCGCACCAGTAAGGGCCCTGTCAAGGTCGTGCTCATCTAGGGCCGGCCTGACAGCGCTTATGGACCAGGTGTGCAGCGAGCTGCTGGCCCCTGCCAACGCAACGACTGACAGCAAGGTGCGAGCACGTGTACTCATGCACATGCATGTCAGCATTGCGAATGTGAAGAAAGCCATGCATGCTGGTCTGCCATCAAACAGGACCGCAAGTGGCGATCACCCGCCCTCGCAAAGAGGCCTGAACGTCGCTTTGAAGTGATGTGGCTTCTCTAACCTAAACTTGCTTCGGCACCGCACGTTTCTTCCCGGGCCCTTGCTGTCCTCTCCCCACGCACTGGCTGTTTGGCTGTGTTTGATCCACTCTGGCCGCTCCCGGAATCTCGCGCCCTGCCTACAACCATATACAGTCCCTCATTTCTATGCATATCCTCTCTCTCCACCAGTGGTCTTGATCCAAGCACAACTCCATCCTCTCTGGCTTTGCCTCCCATTCATAGCTCTTTATAAAGATAGTATCATCTGCCTCCTGCTGCATCAGCGATCCCTCTCAACTTGACGCTCACACCCGGTCAAACACACACCACGACTGCGCACGTGTACCATTGGCTGCTGCAGACCCTGGCTTGAGTGTGCATGACAATGTACCTTTCGGCATGCAGCACCACTGTGGACGTATACACAGCTGCAATGCTGCATCCCGCAACCACCTTAACGCACCCGGACATACTGGCACTACCCTGCCAACTTGCGCTGCAGGATCCCAAGAAGCTGCACTACGGCTGCGGAGTGGCCACGACCGCCCAGGTCAACAAGGTGTCCAGCGACCTGGCCGCCCTCGAGCCCAAGGTGGTCGCCGCCGTTGCTCAGGCCAGCTCTGCGCAGTCCGCCCTCGGGCAGGGCAGCAACCAGACAGCAGCGCTGCGAGCCCAGGTGGCCGCGCTCAATGCGACGCTGGTGGCGCTCACCGCCATGACGGAGGGGCTCATGACAAACATGGCCAGCGCCGCTGACACCGGCGTGATCACCCAGCAGCTTGAAGCTCTTGCGGCAGCGGACACTCGCGCGGCCCAGCGACTGGCGTCACTGGCTGCGGCAAACCAGACTCTGGGCCAGGATATTGCGCGGCTCAAGGCCTCTCAGAATCAGTGTACGTGCGGTCCAGAGCTCTCAGCTGTGAACACCACGCTGGAAGCAATCAAGTCTGTCCAGGCTGCTGACGCGGCAGCGACCGCCCTGGTCAACACCACTGCAGAGTCCTTCAAGCTCGCAGTCGCCGATGGCGCTGCGACCATCTCGGCGATCAATTCCAGCATCATTGGCCTGACAGCGGCCATTGGCAACGTGTCGGCCATCGACCTCAGCATTTATGCCAAAATCGTCGACCTTGCAACCCTAGATGCGGCCACACTGGGCGGCGTGCCGGCCGCTCAATACTTGCGTGCCCGTGTTGTGCTGTTTGCGGAATCCGCCACAATAACCAGAAATGCCAACCTCGGCGGCCGGGCTGGTGCAGACGCTTTATGCCGCGCGTCTCCCGCCCGCCCTACTGGGCTTGTGCAGGTGCGCGCGTTCCTTTCGACGTCTGATTCTGATCAAATTTTTGATTTTACCAGGCTTTATGGCGTCCCTAATGGCCTCCCAGTCCAAGGGCAAAATGGGGCCAAATTGGCCAGCAACTTCATCGATCTGCTGGACGAAACCATCAACGTTTCATTGGTGAACGCAGGGCTGGTGATGCCAAACATGTACTGGTGGTCTGGCAGCAGTGCTCTGGGCTATTTTGACTTTTTTACTTCGTGCAGCGGGATGAGCAGCAGCAGCCCTGGGGATTCGGGTGCAGCTGGAGATGCTGCTGCGACGGATGCAAACTGGATGTCTACGCTTCCCACCAAATCGTGCAGCGACCCCCTTACTCTCGTGTGCATTGCCTTCTGATTGCCCATTCATCGGCACATATGAGCAAGTACAGTAACCACTTCCCGCAGGCTTCTGCCAGTGTCCAGGTTCATGAAGTAGGAATGCGAGAACCTCTGCGTTTGGTGTGAGTAGTTGTTATGCGGGGCGCCACCAGTTACACCTCCCAAACCTACCTTCACACTGGCATGCCCTGATTGATGCACGAGTATGCAGGCGCCCCTCCTTTACATACGCGGATGAGTAAACATGGATGACACGTCCCATACCTGCCCCAGCTCCCAAAACGTAGTACAGCTCTTTTCCATCTGGGGCACGCCATGGGTGTTTTACCTGGGCCCACGGCAGCTGTGAATGTGCTCAGTGACAATTTGATGGTTTCCTGACCGACAAGCTTCCGTAGGATCGATGCACACATCAAAACCTTTTGTGAACAAGACATCACATCCAAGAGAGTAACAGTGGTGGCAGCCCACTAATAAGCCAGGTACATTCAGCACGACCGGCTGGATATGCCACGACACAACATTTACGTTAGGAGGCCCGAAGTTGATCATAAATACATGTTGATCACAGTGGGGCAATGGCAAGGCGGCGGGCTTGCACCAAGGGCGACAGTTTGGGCGGGGCATTCACCCCCCCCCCTCCAGCATCATAACTTCTATTTGCCACAGTGTTGCTAGGTACAAGGAGGTTGCGGTGTGGTTGATTACCAAGCAGACGCGTCTGCGCTGATGTCACTCGCTGTGGCAGGCGCACTGTACACACGTCAGTGACTGTGCTGGTGCACTTGTGTATGTACCAGCGCTGTGTAGCACGTATTGCGGTGTGATTTATTGTGTTTTATGTAATTCAGATTCTAGCAAAAAGCAGCGCAGCGGGACCGCCTGCCAAGGATTGGGACTCCTGATCGGATCAGGATTAGGATTGTTACAGCTTTTCGCGGTGGCCCAAGAGCCGGCCAAGCAAGCTCGAGGGATTGGACAATGAAGCATCAACAGTGTGTGGCGTTGTTTCCAGGGGCCTGACGTCGACGCCTCGCAAAGCAGGCATGCACAAAAGCCCCAAACTGCCAAATGCGTGCTGGTCTGCTGCGCTGCGGCCAACTGAAGGCGCGCAAGCGTTGTGCAGGCAGATTGGCATACATGGGTGCGAACTTCGAAGCGTAGTGCAGCGTGCAGGTCGGCGCATGCAGGGCAGTCCAGCAGGGCGTGTTCGGCCATTTCATCGAGGCCTGAGCTGTCGCGATGGGGGCAGTGCACAGGAGTGCTACAGTGCAGGGTGCGTGAAGCCGCAACGGGCGCGTGCTGCAGCTGGTGGTTCCGAATATGCGCTGTGAGTCGGGAAAGTAGTAGGGCACGTGTGATGGAAAGCCAGCAGGCTCAGGCATCGCGTCAGAGGCCCCCGCCGCAAAGCAGGGCCTCGTACTCTGCGCATGCGCCAAGTCCCGTTGCTCGCCTTTCACCGAACAAGATGTTGCTGATTTTGTGAGATATACGCGTTGATGTAGAGGGCACACAACTGCAATGGGATTGTGGCGCGTTTTGCGCAGCTGTGCCGATGCATCTGCTTTTGCTCCTGTTGACATACAGCGCCACACACAGTTGATGTTCTATCGTCCGCTATGAGCCTGGACGGCGGCAACCGCGGGCAGCTACAACAAGCCTGTCCTGTAGAGCTTCAAGGACGGCATGACTACTGGCAGGCGCATGGTCCCGAGCAAGCAACTCCCACCCTCCTGACGGCAGGCGCAAGCCATCCATTGCCGGTGGTCCACGGCGCAATGTGTTTCGGACTCCCGCTGAGTAGGCCGCCGGCAGGGCGCCAGGGGCCCCGCCCTCAGCCAACAGCCAGCCCAGCGGCGGCGTGTTCGCAGTCTTTGACTCCAGTCAGTGCACACCTCATGCATTTGCAAGCTCTAATGCTTTCTGACACCATGCATATCATGCTTTCAAGGCCTAGCATGCCACAAACGTGGGCTGCGTTGGCAGCTGCGCTGCGGCACTGGCTGCGCACGCTGCGGCGTGCGTGCCAGCCACGACCTTTATGCAGTCCTTGCAGTGTGCTGGGCATGTACCCTTGTAAGTATGCCGTAGTGAAGCCTTTGGTATTACAGTATCTACATCGATTACAGTACTTGCTATCAGAAATTTTTATTGATTTTATGTCATTAGCTGTTGCAAGTGCGCCAACACGCTGTGCTGATGTCGTGATGAACCCCCACCCAGTCAAACATTGCAGCAAGGGTTGACTTGCCCCCAGTGCTGGGGGCGTACATGATGACATCTGCGGCCGCGGCAGGCAGCATGCATCGTGGCAACGGAAGCATGAGGTGCTTTCATTCCTGTCGTCAGCTTTGGCCCCAGGCTTGCGCAAGCTCTCTGCCATGTCCGGGCGGCCGCCGACCGCCTTCCAACTGGTTGAAATCCAGCTGCGCTCCCTTGGGCCTTGCGCCCGCACCCGGGCTAGAAGCAGCGAGAAAAATCGCGAATTACATGAAAAGCGCCAAAGAATAAGGTCGATTGAATCAAACCCATGAGCGTTGCGGTGGTGAGGAGTGGGGCCGCACAATTCAGTGGGCTGAGCACGGCTCAATATGCCAGCCCTCGGGCACATGACGATCAAATCGCGGGAACAACTGGGAGGCGCTGCGCACAGCAGGGGACCACCCCAGCAGGGGCATCAGCCGCAGGTGCAAAAACGAAGACGTGATGCTGTGCCTCCCCTGAACCACAAACTGAGACCAACAACGTCCAGCACCGCCTGTTTGCTCGCTTCTGACTCGAAAACATGTCAAGTCGCTGCTTGAGAGCCGAGCAGGGGCACAGCTTTCACATGTGTGACAAAGCATCCGCAGACCAGCGGCACCCACGTCACTCCGTGTCGGTGGTGGCTTCACTCGCCGTACCGCTGGGGGCGGCGTAATCGGGGTCCACCCTGCCGTAGCCGGCGTACCGCTCCAGCCACTGGTCCTGCTCGTACAGGCAGTGCAGTACGCTCTCGCGCGCGGCTGCGGTACGGACAGGCGCGTGGGCATGGGCATGGGTGTGGGTACCGGCGAGACAGAGAGGGCGGTAGCTTCGGACAAGGTTTCAAAAGCAGGACGACGTCCCAGCCGGGCGCTTTGGACAATCCCTGAACGCGTGCCTTCGAAAGAGCGGCATAGCCTTGAGAGGCGACAGACGGGTGCCGCGGATGCGCTGGCGTTCCAACACAAAGAACAGCCCTGCCGCGCTCTTCTCCTGCCACTGATCACACCCCCCACCCACCATAGGAGTGGCTCTCGTGCGGCAGCAGCACCAGCCTGGTGGGGCAGCCGTGGCCCTTGAGCGCGGCGTACATGCGCTCGCTCTGCATGGTGTGCGTGCCCGGGTTGTTGTCCGCGTCGCCGTGCACCAGCAGCAGCGGCTTGCTGATCTTGTCGGCCATCCTGCGGCGGGGGGCAGGTGAAAGGATTGCGCAATGGGGGTTGAGGCCCTTCAAAGCAAAGGACGGCGTCTGATGGGCCGAGGTCCTGGTGGGTGCGTGCGAGCGAGCCCGTGTGCATGTGCTGTTTGAGGTGCGGCTGTCAAGAGCTGTGCACAGCGTGCTTTCCAAAGCTTGGCCACAGCCTCTCCTCTTCGCTCTGCACAACCTGCACCCCCCCTCTACCCCCGAAACAAAGGCCTAAGCAGGGCATCAGCGCGCCCTCTGCCCCGTCGGCGCCCCCGGCCCAGGCCCGCGACCCACATGAAGGGCGCCATCCGCGCGTAGACCTCCGGGGACTGCCACAGGGTGCGCTGCTCGGACTGGAAGCCCATCGGGGTCAAAGTCCGGTTGTACGCGCCGCTGCGGGCGGGGCAGCCCAGGGTAAGGG